TACGTTCTCTCTCTCTCTCTCTCTCTCTCTCTCTATATATATATATATATATATGGAAAAAGTTTATATAGAGCCGAGGCTCTCAACAATCAAATTAGAGCCCACCTAAAAATTTCACTAGAAGAGGTTGTTTTGATGCCCAAATATCTTCAAATTGATCATCTCGACATCAAGAAGCATGGACATGGTAAAAAAATAGATTTCAAGTTTTGGAAATAGTGCATCTTGTAATGCATTTTTGGAGCATCAATTTTCAAGATTTTCAAGTTTTCATAGATCTGCTCGATCTACACTATTTTTGAAGCTTTAAATTTTAAAATTAAAGATGAAATTATATTTTGAGGCTATCACAAAGATTTCCAATGTTGAAACCACATTTCTTGACACTATTTGAAAGTGCACTTTGATTGTTTAGAGCCTCAGCTCTTTACCATGCACCCTTCATATCATCTACTATCTTTTCCTACATGACCATTAAAGTCCTCACATAGAAATGTCCTCTCTCCATTTGGTATTCCTTGGAGTAGTACATCCATGTCCTCCCAAAATTGTCTTTTAATTCTACCCTATAGCCTTTCTTGTGGGCCATTAGTATTAATTATGTTAATTATCTCCCCCCATAAACAACATTAATTAATCGTAGCGTATCACCAACTCTCTTAACATCTACTACTTTGTCCTTTAAATCTGTCTATTATGCCTACGCCATTTTTATTATTGTCCTTGCCTATGCACCAAAGTTTATATCCATCAATTGCTTTATCTTTTACTCCTTTCCACTTAGTTTTGTGTAAGCAAGTTATGTTAACTTTCATTCGTCTCATTGTATCAACTAACTCCATACCCTTATTTGTTAGAGTTCCCACATTCCATGTGGCTAGATGAATCCTACTATTTTGGAGTTGCTTCTTTACGTGTACTCATCCAAAATGGGTTGGGAACCCATGCCTACTTATCATCACAACCAAGCATAATTGTGGTGCATCATTTCTAGGGATCACCCTAGTTAACCCTTGCACATTTTTCATTGCACCTAGGTTTCGTTACAGCCCGTCGCTTATAGGAAACGAACTAGCATGAGCATATAATATTGGTTCAGGATTCATTAAAAAATATGGTAAAATAATATTACTATTAATATTCTATCAATACTAATATTCTAACTATTAAATTATTAAAAATAACAAAGCAAAATAATTATAGGGAATCAGGAGAAGAAGAAAATGTTAATTGCTACTCTAATATGCCCTCTTCATCCTTTCCAACTGTCATATAGATTCAGTAAGGTGCCATCTAACTGTAACAATTCTAGCTTATCCTCATTTGTGTTCTTTTTCAGAGATGGCATCTAGCTGATGCCTTTCTGCCCTTAGGACTTTAACTTTTGCTATCCTGCTGACTTGCCTCGTTACATGGATCTAAGTGTGAATGGCGCATCTGAGTCCTGAGTATCAAAATTAAGAGTCCAATGATTTGGTAGCTTACAATTTGCTTGATTCAAAGGCTCGAAATATTCGATATTAGCATCATACCTTAGAATGGTGCATCTGAGTTTAGAGTATCAACATCAATGAATTGGTAGCTTACCATTTGCCTGATTCAAAGGTTCAAATATTCAATATTAGCATCATATCTTGGAATGTGTAACAGAAGTTTATGAATCTTTGTTATTATTAATTTTTAAATGAACTACTTACGTGTATGACTAATTCTATGAGGGAAAAAGTTTATATAAGGTTGCAACCTTCAAATGTTGAATTACAGATGCACCTCAAAAATCCAACGGAAAGGTTGTTATAATGTTGAAAAACCCTCTAATTGATCATCTAGACATCGAGATGTATGAATATGAAAAAAAAAATTGTTTCTGAGTCTCAAAAATAGTACATCTTGCAACACATTAACTAGACTATCCATTTTCAAGATTTTTATATGTTTATAGATCAACTTGATTTTAACCATATTTGGAATTTAAAATTTTCTAATTAGATATAAAAATAGATTTTAAGATAATCCTAATATTTTTTTACAACAAAATTACATGTTGTGATAAAATTTAGAGGTACGCCTTAATTGGATTGTTTAAGGTTGCAACCTTATAGAAACCACACCCTTCTATGAGTCTTTAGCACATTTATTTGTCTTTGGGTATGCTTGCATGCTATTCAATTGAGATATCTGTTTTTATCTAAAGGAGATGTCAGATATTTAGAGAAGTAAATCATGTTGATGTCATCCGATAAATCATGTTCGTTGAGATGTCATTTACGCTTATCTAATGGAGATGTCATCTTGATAAAATTGGTATGGCATTTGATTGCAGGTATCTCAAGAGTGGACCAGGGGATCTTGAGAAGGACATTGAGAGGAGATTCAGTTACGCATTAAGCAGAGAAGACATTGAGAATGCCATTTTAGGGGGACCCTAGCCAAAGGGAGTTGTAGAAAGAAGATGAAAAAAAACTGAAACATGTATTTATAGGGCCCTCTCGACTTGTATTCTTGAGAATGTATATGTTCCTATTATTTGCTGATTTTCCCTTTTCCGCTCAATTTGTTTTACAAATGATGCTTATGATTGTTGAAAGGGGAAGGTCGTTTCCCCATATTTATTTCTCTAGACAGTGGCACTTCTTTGGCTGATAAATAGGCAACAGAGATGGTGTTTTTGCATTTCGCCCCTTTTGACACGACACTCTTGATAGAGAAAATCCCTCATATTTTCTTTCTTGTTTCAATCTGATTCGGGAAATGTGTGTAAAGTTCATTTCACATTGCATTCATGCAATCAAGAAAGAGAAAAACGATGTAATTTGCAGTTCTGCATTTTCCTCCAAGCCTGGGTGAAAATCTAGTTGAATTTTCCATCATTGAGAGAGCTAGTTTGCAAAAAGAGAGGTCCCGGGTTCGATCCTCTGGTACAAACCATACTGAACTACCGAGAAAAATAAAAGAATAGAAAATCGGCAATCTCTAAGAAGAGGAAGAAGAAAACGAAAATGTTTCAAGACAGGCAATATCTAAACATTGGAGAATGCTCTATGTTTTACAAATTTTGGAGACCATGGCAAGGTAACAATAATCACTTCAGAATTTTTACTAAGTGACATTTTTTAGAAAAAATGACAATTGAGTCCTTTACTTATTTAATAAAAGAAAATGTTTATATAAAGTTGACTCTTATAAATGTAGAATTAAGGTGCACCTCTAAAAATCCTTCAAAAAATGGTGTTTTGATGTTGCAAAAACATCTTTAGATTATCTCAACATCAAGATGTATAAATATGGAGAAAAATAGAGATTTCTAATCCTAAAAATAGTAAATCTTACAACTCATTATTTGCACCATCCATTTTCAAGCTATTCATGCATTTTTGTATTTGCTTGATTTAAACTTTTATTGGAGCTTAAAATTTTATAATTAGAGATAAAAATAGATACTTGCACTATTCGAAGTATTTTTTACACCAAAATTGTATCTCATGAAAAAGTTTGGAGTTGCAACTAACTTTGATTGCCTAAGGTTGCAACCTTTAATAAAATGAATCACTACTTCAAAGGAGTATCTAATAAAAAAAAATTTGTATTATAGAATGGAAAATCACATCAAAATTAATAAGTTTTACATTTGTAGTATTTCCTAATATTTGTTTAAAAAGCAACAACTCTATATAAAAGGTAAAATTTCTCTTCAAATATAAACTATATTTAGAATAATTTTGTTCTACGAGTATACTTTTGAAAAGTCAAAATTTAAAAATTTATTAATAAATATGAATGTGTTTAAATTGACAATTATAACTTATAATTATAATTCAAAATAGGTACAATTTTTATATCTATTTTGGATTATTTTGATATTTCTAAATTACAATTATAATGCAAAATGCGTGTAATGCAAAATACATATAATTTAAAATGCAAAATGTGTAATTTATAACGAAAAATAGGTATAAATATACTTATAAAGTATATATATTAAAAAGAGGAGAGAGAGAATGTGTGTGTGGAGCAACATGGGGGAGAGAGTATAGAGAAATATGGGAGGGATTGAGAGATGAAAAAATAGAGAGAGAGAGTTGGGGAGTTGACGTAGAGAAAGAGTTAATGTATTTGCATACGTATGGGGGAAGAGATACTCCAAAAAACGGAGTTAATATATTTACAACTCTGTTTATGATTACAGATGCTTCTGTCTCCCTCATTCTTGAAGTGGATGTGGCTAAATATATTCTACAGTGAGTTAGAAGTTCCCATGTGAGACCAGTACTCCTTGACAAGCTCTCTGAAAAGTGAGCCTTCTTGTTGCATCAGCTTTGATGGCTCCTCATATTCCACAAGAATTCCTGAAAAGTTACCACATAGTCATCAAATGCTGAAAAGGGTTTTCACAAATTATTCTGTTTCTCTTCCCTTTTGTTTATAGAATATCAGCATTCAGCAAGACATAAAATGCTATATTGTAGAAAAAGAGGAGGTTATGCCATTCTGATAATGGCATCAATACCATCCCTAGTCAAAACTCCAATTCCAAATAATTTTAAATGTCTTCTGCAGCTGCTGAGATTTCTCAAGACACTGAAAATGATAGGATTTTTGCATTGTCCTTGAAAAACTTAGTCACTTCATAGTACCATAAAATTCATTACATTTATCATCATCCAAAAGATTTAAGATAAAAGGAACAAATGGAAATCATTCTTTGCTGAAAATTATATGGCACTTGTATTAGAAGGAAAGATAGGACCACCAACCATCACTGATGGCAAGAACCATTGTGCAGTCCATAACAGTCGGGATTCTGTGAGCAACAGTGATGACGGTGCAGTCAGCAAATTCCTCACGTATTGTCCTTTGGAGGATCGAGTCTGTTGCATTGTCAATTGATGCAGTAGCTTCATCTAGAACCAATATCTTGCTTCTCTTTAGCAATGCACGCCCCAAGCAAAACAATTGTCGTTGACCCATGCTCCAGTTGGAGCCATCCTCCAAAACTGCAGTGAATGTGATGACAATGATGTGTGAGATGCCGGAGGTGGGGGGAGAGAGAGAGAGAGTGGGATTTGGGGATTTGCAGGATCATATTCCAGCATCTTTATCTACATTCAGTTATCTTAGACAATAAACTATGCAAAGTACTGCCATATTTATCTCCGTATCCGATCTGTAACTTTCATGACTCCTTACATTTCCCTTCTTTTCTTGAACTGATAATCCAAACTTATTGCAACATAAACAAGAGAATTTTCTTAACACATCATGTCACTCAGATCACCTTAAGTAAAACAAACATATCTTCCTTAATTAATTAAAAAACTAAAGTCGTTCATAAAATTTCGAAAACGTAAGAAAGGAAACTAGAATCCAAGTACTTTCTTAGGGAAGAGTGTAGAATGGATATTCAAGAGCAGAGTCTCAAACCTACCTAGCACATCCAAGCCATCTTCTTTGTCTCGAACAGTTTCACGAAGTTGGCACTTGCCCAAGACCTTGCCGAAATCAGAACAAGAAAATATGATTCAGCTTCAAAATAGCAAGGCGTGGAGTAGAAAACAGGAGAACCAACATAGGTTTTCTAGTAAGTTTACCTCCCAAATTTCCTGATCAGAGTGTTCTGATAATGGATCCAAATTGTAGCGCACAGTGCCATGAAAAAGAGTTGGCTCTTGAGGAATGATTCCAAAATGTGACCTTAAATCGTGAAGACCAATTTTGGAGATGTCGAGGCCATCTACAAGTATCCTACCCCCTACTGGTTCAATCAACCGAAACAGGGCACTGATGAGGGTTGTCTTTCCACTGCCAGTTCGACCAACTATCCCTATCTTATGTCCTCCTTCAAATGTACAGGTAATTCCCCGAAGAACAAGAGGTGTGTCGGGTCTGTACCTGATCTATAAAGATAAACCAAAGTATAACATAGTTTCCATGCTAGCATCTATCAATTCCACTTAGCGTTGAACTTTTATTTGACACGAGTTATTTTTCCATTGAATACTATTAAAAAGAAAGAAATGATTGAGATTTTAGATTCACCTTTAGGTCTTGGATTTCCACCTTGCCAAGATTGGGCCACCCAGGAGATGGCCGGATTCCTTCTATTACTTCCGGGGCTTCACTGGGGATGTGCATGTACTGGTTGATTCTTTCAACAGAAATAATGTGATTCGCCAGAATGCACTGATTTTGAATAGAGCCAACAAGGGACATATTCAAGGAGAGGCCATAAGACAAAGCCATCCCAATAAAGCCTGAATTAGAGCATAGCATTTAATTAGTTGATTATATAAATGAAACTACTGTAGCTACTACAATTACTATAAATGTGATTGTAATTTGTAGAGATCACATGAGTGCATGCATGTTACAGTGTTACAAACTCATGGCTAGTTAAATGTTCTAAATATATATAAGATCATGGTTTGTTTCCAATGATGGGATGGACAAGGAAAAATTACCTCCAGAGTGTGGATGACAGATTAATTATGGAGATCAATAACTGGATCTTAAAAGATGTGGTGGTAGAGGATCAGGTCAAGGATACCGACAGTAATTGGAAAGGAGGTGGAGAGGTTTACATTCATTTTTGCATTTTTTATTAAGTTAGAAGCTCAATTGATCATCTTTGCAGAAGTTTCTGGGGAGGCTTAAGGCAACATGGAGAGGATAACACTTTAGGCGAAGAAAGAATCATGGTTATAAAAATTGAAATGACAAATCTTGGCATTATGATTAACTACTTATATATCAATTAGTTTCTTCTAGATCTTTTTGTGTCTTTTACCATTCAATAGAAATTTCTAATTCATGAGATGTACAGCATTCCTCTTAATCCAAGCATGCTATGTGGAAATAATTATTAACTGACCCGAGCTGAAAGTTCCTGAAGGCAGCAACACCATGGCAAGGGCAGAGGCTGAAAGAACACTGGCACTCAGCAACTCCAAACGAAAAATTAACCATTCGCTCGCCGCAAAGTTGTGAAAAAATGGACTTGCATTCTTGTCTATATGATACAAATTCTTTTTAGAGAATCGATCTTCCTCCCCGAAGGCTCTTACTTATAATTGCTCCTGATATAGATTCAGAGAGATGATTTGCTATCTGAGACTTTGTTGTTCCATTCATCCTCATTAGATCTTTAGCTGAAGCAAAGTAGTACCTCTGTGGGTCCAAAATACCGTATCATTACTTATTACAGCTTAACGAAACTTATAATAGGTGAAGACATGGGAAAACAAAGTAGAACCCCAAACCACTTCTTAATTTTACAGAACGAAGAGAAGAATTAGTTACCTGCAAACAAATGGTCAAGTACACCATAGGTATAGAAACAAACAATACTTGCCAGGTAACAGAAGCTAATACTCCAAGATTAAAATACATATTTGTAGTAGCTGAGACAGAGAAGGTTAAACTAAAGGGTACATCAAGGTCGACGATACTCAAATCTGAGGAGATCTGCACAAGGGTCCCAAATTAAAGTTCTACAATATATCAAACAAGCAACACTCCTATGAGCAAATAAACACGAAAATAAATATTGCATATGTTTATAATGTTTGTTCTTGTAAGATCTTACTCGACTCAATATCCTTCCCAGAGGTGTGGAATCAAAGAATGACATTGGTGCACGGAAGACAGAGATCAGAAACTGAGTAAACAAAGACTTTGATGATTGCAGACCCAGAGTAACCACAAAAATTGATCTAAGCAACAAAAATACAGCACCAGTGACTCCAATTGCAGAGTATACACAAATGAGCCTCAAAGTGCTCACTAGGGAATTCTGAACATTAGCAGCCATCCATGTATTTTGCAAGACCTGGGTAATAGCAAATGCGATATGAGAGAGGGCAGCCAAAGAAAAGAACAAAAAGCCCTTGTTCTGATTCAGATATTGCATGTAAGGCTTCAGGCCTGTGTCTCCCGTCTCCTTCTCCTCCTCTTTGATCAATTGATTACTTTCTGAGGCCTTACCCAATGGTTGATTATTCATGTATTCCTTCTTCGTTTCTTTTCCTGAGGTGATAGAATCAAATTTCCGGGGAGAAGAACCTGCATGGATTTTTTGAGAATCCAATGTGTCCTTGTGTGCATTAACAAGGTCTTGAAATTCTCTACTGTTGGATAATAATTCTTGGTAAGGAGCAGCCCGGAGAATTTCACCATCTGACATTAACTGAAAGCAGAATAGAAGTACCTCAGTGGCTTATATAAAAATAAACAAGTTTCTGAAGCACCATGAATGGTTCTCAAAGAGAAAAGCCAGGAAACACATTTAATTGTTTAAGAAGAGAATATAAAGAATAAAAACAGGAGGCGAATGACAAGAGTTGAAAAGGTTAAAATTTAGGAGATCAATACTAACCAGTATGGTATCAAAGGAAGGCAGCAAATCAACCTGGTGAGTGACGAGAAGGATAGTCTTCATTGATAGAACTCCCATGACACATTCCTGTACACAATCCAATTAAATAAACTTGAAAAATGGCCCTGGAACTTTATAACAATTGGCTTGCCCCTAAACCTGCTCTTTAGTATGCTCTGAAGTGTCTTCAAAAGATTTTTGCTACATCCATCATTAAAACAACATCTAATGCAGAAAGATGAAAGTTGGTGAAACATAGCATGCTCACATTAAATAGGCCCGTAGCTGTATGAGCATCAACAGCACTGAATGGGTCATCTAAAAGGTAGATATCTGCATCCTGATACACGGCACGAGCAAGTTGGATCCGCTGCTTCTGACCTCCACTAAGGTTGACACCTCTTTCTCCAATCTCTGTGAGATCACCAAACGGAAGCATCTCGAGATCCTTCAGCAATGAACACTTCTCAATAACGACTTGGTATTTTTCCTTACACATTGGAGATCCAAATAGAATATTCTCCTGTATGGTGCCACTTTGTATCCATGCTGTTTGAGAAACATATGCTACTGTTCCACCAACTTCCATCTGCACAAATGGTTAGGCAAACTTCATGGATAAGAATGCAAATAATTGTCGACAATGCAAAAATCGGAATCAGATTCATTGTTCCTTACAGATTTTCAAGCCCATCAATCATTAAGTATTTCCAACACTCGAAATATAATATCAAAAGACAAATAATAAAAAGCAATCACTAGTTTACAAACTTTCAAGCTGTCAGAATCAGTTAAAGCATAAGAAAAAAATTGATATTCATATAGAACTTTCAAGAGAAATGATAGTGCATACTCTGCCCTCAATGTTGGGGACCTCTCCAAGAATTGCTGCTAAAAGAGTCGACTTCCCAGAACCAACTTCTCCACAAATTGCAACTTTTTGACCAAAATGAATACATAGGTTTATATTCCGAAGTGTAGGCTTTGACAAATCCCTCTTCCACGAAAGAGCAGGAGAGTCAATGACAATCGCATGCTCAGATGTATCCTCAAACTTCCTCTTGATAAATCCATTTTGCAGCTCAGGAGCCTCCAGAAAGTTTATAATTCGTGTTAATGCAACCCTGGCTTGGATAACAGTGCCAATAACATCAGGAATCATTCGTATAGGGTCCTGAACAAGGCGAAGAGTTGCAACAAAAGTAAAAACATTACTAGGGTAGAGAGGAACTCGAAGCAGATAGCATGTGCCAAAGGTAGCCGCAGAAACCAAAACAGGAGAAGCCCAAAAGAGGAAACTATTGTAAGCTCTCCTCATCTGATATGCCGATAACCACTTGTATTCAACTTTCCGCAAGGCTTCAATGACCAATCTGAAATGGGTCTCCCATGCATAAAGCTTGAGCACCTTCATGTTAAAAAAAGCCTCAGTCATGGCTTTCAGCCTCTCATCTTGTGCCATCATAAGCTTGGTCTGAAACTTATGCTGAAGTTTTGCCAGAGGAGAGTTACAAAGCACGGTGAGTACTATCACAACCAAAGCAGAAATTGTTGCGGGTCCTACTGAATTCAAGAGAATTGCTAATGCGATGCAAATTTGGAGGCTTGTGGTCCATGTCTGATGAAACCAATATGGAAATTCCCCAATCCTATATGCATCCACAGTTACATAGTTCATTATTTCGCCTGCTGAATGCATAAGTTTTCCCTCATTTGAGAGCCTCAATTGCTTTTGATAAACAGCTGCTGAAAGCACGGATCTGAGTTTGAGACCAATCCTTCTGGTACGAAAATACCATTGCCTCTGCGATATGGACTCCAAGACCTTAGCAAAGAAGAGAGAGAAAGCCAATATAAAACCCTCATATCTAAAAATCTCACCTCCTTCAGCAACCTTGATGAAAGCATTAAGAAGAAGTGGACCTGATGAGAGCGTAAGTATCTTGAGCAAAGCAAACAACCCAGACACTAACATCTCTTTACGGTTGCAGAACACAAGTACCCAAAATATAGATGGCGAACCAGATAGTTTCATATGTTTTCTTTGGTTCAGTTCCTCTGTAAAGACATCATAACAGCTCCCTGCCTGATCTTCAAGGCTCAATTCAGGCATGTCCTTCTCTTCTAGAGACTTTTGCCGCCCTTTCTTCATCAATGGATTCAGCCACCAGAATGTCATCCGACTAAGAAGCCCAGCTCTGGCAATAGAGGTTACAGACTCTTCCAAGTGAGATTCAACCTTTCCAATAGGACCATTGTTTAAGGGCATGTAAGAAGCAGTGTCTTGGCCAGATTCTCCAGATCCCTTAATAGCACAAATAAACAATAACAAGCCTCCTGGTAAAGAAATTACGTCCAAAACATTACTTGGTGAAAATTCTCCAGAAATCATGTGGTTCACAATAGCTGAGATGCAAAGAAATCCTGCAAATAATAACACAACGATGGACCAAATTCTTAAGAAGGTTTTTGCAAGCCTTTTAGCCTTTAGACTCGCTGTCAGTCCAACTAATGTCAATGTGAAGCCTTGAACTAACAGAACCAGCCACTGGTGGAACGGTAAAATCTTCCCCTTTCTCATATTTTCTGTAAGGCTCCATCCTCCTAAAGCCATGTAAGAAAAACCCAATATAGCAATAAATGTGGCAGTAAATTTTTGCGAGGGAGAGAAGCTCCGAAAGCCAGAGAGTGCTCCTAGTGGTATTGGTTTCTTATGAACAAAATGGAACACGTACATGAGCAACAGCACTGCATCCACAAAGAGGATCAAACCATGCTTGATGCATAATGAAGAACCAGAATTGGTTGCAATTGCACAGCCAGAAAACCCCAAATTGCATGACTGCCCATATTTCTTTTCAGTGCTTAAAGGATTTAGTTCCCCACAGAAGGCAACCCAGATACCTGATTATGTTCCAAGAAAATATTGTTATCAAAGTTAAAATTTTCATCCAAGAAGGATCCTTTTGTGAATTACTTACAACAAAAAGGAAAATAAGAGTTTCTATCTAACCTGTGAGAATGTCCATCGCTTGTCCTCTGTTCCTTCTCTCTATTGAGCAATCATTTCTGTAAAGGAAATATATTGCCAGAGCAATAAAAAATATGTCCCCAGAATTACAAATTTTACATTTGCAAATGGTATTCAACTAATTTCAAAGGTGAAAAAGGAAATCATGCCATAGGTGTAAGTAGGCATTTCCTTGTTCAACAGAAAAGACATCAGCAAAAGGTTCATACAGAGATACAAAAATTTGAAATAAAGCTTAAAGTCTGAGAAGGAAGAAATTCAACTTATCACTTTAAACCAGACCACATGAGGTATCTTCTTCAAATCACTAAAGATGGGTATCATATGCTCCAATTTCTATTAAATTGCCTGAATTCATGGAACAACTCAACTTACATTACTAAAAATAGTGACCAAGACCTGATTCCAATGATCATGGCCTCCTGATTCCAGTAACAATTAACAAACACATCTCCATACTTCAGAATATAAATATACAAATCTCTGATTCTTGAGAGGAACCTGCTAGCCTAGCAGTTTAAAGCTTTCCAACTCGAGTGCTACTTTCGGGGACTCAAAATAAAACCATCATATTATCTTTCTTCATGGGAGTCCTCCATGGAATTGTACCCAAAACATAGCACCTGACAGGGTTCAGACTGTTCAAGATCCGGTGAAGCACAGATGTGGAAATGAATAGAACAGAATAACATGGAAACTAACAATAGATCCCTAGAAAAGAAAACCGCAAGTACCATATTATAGAGTGTTTTATAGATAAATCTTGCTGGAACATGATTCAGTACCATGTGCTTGTACCCTTTATTGACAAGAGAACTCCTTGGACAAAGAACAAGGCCTCTTTGGATGTCACAAGAGACAGGAATACAATAATAACATGCAAATAAATTTGTGATATGCATAAGAAATGTACATGCATGCTAAACTCATGAACACATAATAAATGTAGTGCACGAACTTAATAAAAGACAGTTACAGTAGAGGAAGAACTGATTCTCGTGCATTCCATCGATCTGCTTCTAACCAAAAGCAATCAGCCTAACCGAACTTGCCTGTCTCCCTCTATTATGAAACTCCCTTTTCCCCTTGAGAGCAATTCATAAAATCCTTCGGGATAACAAACCCCCAAAAACGTCTCACCCCCATGCAGAGATGCGAAACTTCATCTCTCTGGGCTAAACCTCCAACTTCTCATCATATCAATCAGTTCTATGTGCGTTATCCCACCCTCCAGACATCTTGTAATGCTGTATGCTCCATAACTCTACCTCAAGCACCAGCGAAGTGCCAATTCCTCCACAACAAGACCCTCCTTTATATCAGGAATTTGAGCTCCAATAACAAAGAGTTTACGATTGTTGTGCAGTCTCTAACAACATAGGCCTCGAAACTTTTTGAAGTCACCTTTCTACTCCACTCCAATATTGACTTCAAATCAGCATCCCTCCTCATGGTTAGTACCTCTCGCACTACTCCTGTCACCCCCCCAAGAAGCTACATGCCATCCAAACCTCCTCCCCAAAATAGATGCAAGTCTAATACCCGCTGACACATCACTCTTAAGGGCTGAGAGGCTTAAAACCACAAACAACATTAGAAGCATCATACCTCCCAAATTGAACCACGACCAGAAGCCAGTTTATGCTTTTGATTGCCATGCTCCTAAGCAATATTCCTCTAATCATCCCTGATCTCCATAGTGATCACTGATTAATGACTGTTTGAAAAGGGAATAAATGAGGTCTTGTTGAAAGGTGGTTTTCTTTGTATAACCTCATACTTAAGCCTCCAAGTCATTTTAATTCAACAGACTTTTTTAGAGTTTCAAATTATGGCATGGGCTAGATGGTATACATTGGGAAAAGAGGTTAAAATACTCATAATTCTGTTTAAGGTCTAGGAGCTGGAAAGGAAGTACCCTAGAACCAGAAGCGATAAGGATGCAAATCGTCAAGTGATTATGACCTGTTAAGTAAATCACCAACCACCAATTTTATTAGCACTGGAAATGGTGTTGCACCCATAAGGTTTTTGCTGGACGTGTTGGCCAGAGGTACATCACTGCTTTTCAAACATACAGAACAATTTATGCAAAGCTATAAAAAATAGGACATAAATGATCCAAACTCAACCATTTTAAATTTATGAGTGCTTCAAACTCATCTGAAGAGTAAAGAAGTTAGAGTAAAGAAGTCGATTTATATAAAGAAGAAAAGGCTGAATTAAATTCAGAAGATTAGAAGTATGATGTTTACATAACATTAAGGCAATTCAGGAAACATGATATCTTATGATCTTAACAAATTTCACTTACCAGACACAAGCTTAAAACTCCAGAGCTTGAAGCTGCTTTCCTTTCAAATAAGGAATACGAATTTTAATCTGCTCCAGGTTCCATGCAATGTATCTCAGAATTTAGATATGCTTAAAACATATTTGCAGAAGCAGCATTTCATCAAAATTTACATTAACAGAAGCCTTACCTGAACCAGCGCAGGACATGAAGCACTTTTGGTTTTCAATTTTGCAGCAGACTGTATCACAAATCGAGAATGGATACATGTAAGGACAACACGATCCAGATAAGTATAGAGGACTATACTACTATGCTCTTAGCTCTCAGAGCAGAATAAGGAAGCAATAGTCCATGAAAACTCGCAATCTTGTCTTGACAGTGTATCAAAAAAATGTCCAGCAGTTCAGAGTCTTTCACCTTTGCCTTTGAATTCAAAATGTCTGGTCCAATTTCTGTGGAGGGTCAATGAAATCTCTGTGTAACATCTCAAAACATAACATAATTTATGTCATTACAGTAGTGAGAATCAGTTCTCGTTTCTGTAACAAATCGAAGATATATAACTCATGCTCAAACTTGTGTAATCAACCGAGCCAGAATTCAATTGCCACTTTCATTTGGAAATGTTCACTGAGTCATGGTTGCAATTATACAAGACAAGAAATATCAAATTTCATCTCAATTTCCCCTTACTTCGTGCAAGATTCCTGTTAGTTCATTGAATCACTTTATCCGCAGGAAATTTGGAGGAAAACTCGGTCACATTTTAGGGGTCATCAGACCAACCGGTGATTCCAGAGACGTGATTCCATTAAAATAAAAAAGAGGAAAGAAAGAAAGAGAGACGTAACAGAAGAAACAACCGAATAAGACAAGCTCACAAAGGAAAATCCGATTTTGACACAGCAATAATAATTGCCGCATCTTCAGTTTTCCACAAAATCAAAGAAATGCATCCCATTTATAGATTGGAAGTGGTACTGAGAAGTGAAAAAGAACGGAGGTGGGCCAAAGAAGACGAGGTACAAAAGGCGAGAGAGGAAAGGGATTGATGTGCTCCCCCCCTCTCATTTCGTCAGCGCTCACGTTGTCAAAACAAGCAGACAACGCGAGCATTTCACGAAACTCTCTCTCTCCTTTAATGTGTGGTTCGCACTCTCTCTCTCTTCTCTCTGGTACGTTGGACGGTTAGACGCTGCCGACAACGTCGCGAGCCTTGTGGCATTGCCTGTGTTGGGGCGAAAGACGACACCGCTTCTTCTACAAATATTTATGCTTGCTCTTTTACTTGCGCCTCCGTTCTTATTATTTTTCTTTCTTTTTATTATGCACGTACTTGGCCGTCGTGATGCCTTACATACGACTTTGACATGAGGTTGATTCGTATTGTATTATTCCAAAACTATACATGTCTTTGGCACCCATCCCAGTAACACCTTCGAAAACCTAATTATTTTAAAAATGCTAGCTTTGGGAGCTTAACTAAAGGGCGCAGTTTGTATAGAGCCTACGCTCTAGAGTCTAGACAATCAAATTAGAGCCTACCTTCAAATAGTATATGCGGTTTAAATACTGGGAATCTTTGTAATAGCATTGAAATATATATATTTTTTTATTTATAAAATTTAGAGCTGTAAAAATAGTGTGGATTGACAGATTTATGAAAACTTGAAAAATTTTAAAAATTAACGGTAAAAAATATATTACAAAATACACTATTTCTAAAACTTGAAATCCATTTTTTTTCTCATGTCCATGCATCTTGATGTCGAGATAATCAATTTGAGAATATTTGGACATCAAAACAAAATCTTTTAGTGAAATTTTTGAGGTAGGCTCTAATTTTATTGTTTAGAACCTCTACTCTATATAAACTTTTCCCTTTAAAAAACTTCCACTTCAAAAACCTAACACACACACACACACACATATATATATATATATATATGGGAAAATTACAAATAACCCCCAAGAACAGGCTTCCTATGCCACTTACCCCCAACCAAACTTTATTTCTCACTTTTTACCCCAAATTTAACTTTCCTAACAAATACACCTTGTCATAAAAAAGAAAGTATGAAGACCAAAATACCCTATGAAAAGCATGTGGTCGAGTACAAAATGGGGGCAGTTCGGCACTTTGCTTCTGAAAAGCTTATGGTCCGGCATAAAATAGCGGTAGTCCGGCACTTTGGGCATACAGTATGGCACAAAATGGGGGCGGTCTTGCACTTTATTTTTTGAAACCATGTGGTTTAGCACAAAATAGGGGCAGTCCGACACTTTGGGCATGCGGTCCGGCACAAAATGGGGGCAGTCGAGCACTTTGGGTTTCTGGAAAGCATGCGGTCTGATACGAAATAGGGAGGGTCTGGCACTTTGGGTATGCGGTCCAGCACTATAGGGATTTTTATCAAAAGATATAATTTTTTTACTTGATGAATATTTGCTAGAAAAGTTCAATTTGGGGTAAAAGTTGCTTAAAAAAAACTTTGTTGAGGTAAGTTGTCCATAAAGTCTCATTTTGGGGGGGTTTATTGTAATTTTCCATATATATATATATATATATATATATATATATGAGG